CGTCCTATAGACACCCAACACTCACTTCTGCGCCGTCTTGATCACCAGATGCACGGTGAGGCCGTCTTTGATGCTGTGCTGGTTGAGCGTGTCGCCGTCTTTCAAGATCTTCCCGGCAAAGATCAGGACCAGCTGATCCTTCTTGGCTTTGAACCGTCTGGAGATTTCCTCTTTAAACTGCAACGAGACAAGAGAAGGATTCGGTCAGAACTCGGAGGCGGTGGGTGAGAACGGGTCAACCAAACTATGGACCGGATCCTCCAAGTGACCCCGAGCCATCGTACCCCCCATCCCCCCCAAACTGTCTTCTCTTGGTGGGGTTACTCTTCCTGGTTGGGTGATGTAGCCCTGGCCTCACAGCTGCATCCTGGGAAGGCCACACCACCAGGGCCCTCCTAGGAAACCTCATCATTCATGATGGAGTTCAGGTGTCTCCAGTGAAGGTCCCGTTCATCCTCCATCATACACAGAGATTGTAGACAATGGAGCTCTTCTAGCCTTGTGGTCACAGTTTGGTGAAGACCCTTTTCTGTTCCACCATGACAGTCCCCTGTGTACAAAGCCATCTCCATAGAGACATGGTGTGACCAGCTGGTGGAGGAACTTGAGTCCTGACCTCAACCCTACTGAAGACCTTTGAGATGAATTGGAAGGCCAACTGCGAGTCAGATCTCATCTCACATCAGTACCTGACCTCACTAATGGACACCCTCCCAAGTCTTGTGGAAAGTCATCCCAGAAGAGGGGTGGCTGGTATAGCGCTAAAAGGGGGGGGTCAGCTACATCTAAATGGCCACGGGGAGGGTCAACTGCATACACATTCACTCTCCCCATCCAACCCATATCCCCAGACCTCCCCATCCGCCCTATATCCCCAGACCTCCCCCATATCCCCAGACCTCCCCCATATGCCCAGACCTCCCCCATATGCCCACCACCCCCCCCCCATATGCCCAGACCCCCCCCATATGCCCAGACCTCCCCCATATGCCCAGACCACCCCATATACCCAGACCTCCCCATCCACCCCGGACCACCCCATATACCCAGACCTCCTTATCCACCCAGGACCACCCGACACCTCCCTATCCACCTCATATACCACAGACCATCCCACATATCCAGACCTTCCCATCCACCCCGGACCACCCCATATACCCAGACCTCCCCACCCACTCCATATACCCAGACCTCCCTATCCACCCCATATCTTCAGACCACCCCATATACCCAGACCTCTACATCCAACCCAAATACCCAGACCTCCCCATCCAACCCAAATACCCAGACCTCCCCATCCAACCCAAATACCCAGACCTCCCCATCCAACCCAAATACCCAGACCTCCCCATCCACCCCATACCCCCAGACCCCCCCACATACCCAGACCTCTA